ACTGGGGCTGGAGCCCCTCTGATTGAGGGGGACCTATAAGACTCACTGGACTGGGGCTGGAGCCCCTCTGATTGAGGGGGACCTATAAGACTCACCGGACTGGGGCTGGAGCCCCTCTGACTGAGGGGGACCTATAAGACTCACTGGAATGGGGATCTCCAGGACTCCTGGGGTCTCGAACCCTGGGCTAAACCACTGAAAACTCCACCCTTAATTACAAGCTTTAAAAAGCACGTGAGAAAACACAGTGTCGTTCTACACAGCTGGGCTGGCCACTCTGCCGCTAAGCCAATGTCTGTCAGCGAAGTGACCAGTTAACAAGAGCTGCTGGGCGCCGGAGCTGACCTGTTGGAGTAGGCCGAGTCCTGGGAGTAGGGCGTGCCGGAGCGGGGCGTGTAGGGGGTGCCCCCGCCCTGCGAGGAGGTGGAGGAGCCCGGGGTATAGGGCCCCCCCAGTGAGGAGGAGGGTGTGTCCATCCTCTGGTCGCTGGAGAAGCCGGTGTCCACAGAGCAGGGCGTGTTGCTGCCCCCAGGAGTGAGGGCGTCCGTGGACACCCGTCTCCGCAGCTCCGTCAGCTGTGACGCAGAGGGAGAGACGGACAAGGAGTCAGTCCGGGGCAGGAGAGACCGCGAGGCGAGGGGAGAGGACAACGGGGAGGTCAGAGGTCAGACGGCTAACACACCGCCGGGGTTCATCGGGCTGGGAATTACACCCCCCTCCCCTGCCCCACGCTCACCGTGTCGGGGTGCGCCAGAGGGGGCAGGAACCTCTCGGACAGGGCCTTGCCCCCAGTGGGGACGGTCTGGGGCGTGTAGGAGCCGCTGACAATCAGGTCGTAGTACTTCATTCTCTGCTGTCCTGCACAGTGAGACATGGAGAGAGACACAGAGGGTCACTGCTGCTGCCTCACATATGCTGTCTAACCATATCGCCACAGCCAGCCTTCTACACTGAACTGGATACAGTGAACACAGGACCGGTCTCTGCAGTGAGTCAGGGTGAGTCCAG